CACACACACACACACACACACACACACACACACACACACACACACACACACACACACACAGATGCCTTTTTGACAGAGTTTTTTAGTGACCATCCCAGTGGCATTCAGAAGGTCTTATTTTCACACACACTCAGCCATCTGAATAGGTGTCAGTTCTGTTTGTCTAAATGACCAAAGGAACAAAAGAAGAGTGGCAGGCCCTCTGATTGGTCAAGGCAGACTTTGACCAATGTGACGGCAGCTGGGAGGAGTGTGTGGGATTCTGCTGTGTGTGTTTAAATGTATGTACAAATCTGTTAAAGATTACGTTGCAAATGAAATCTGTGTGAGAAATTCAGTGTTTTAAAACCTGTAAAGTTTGTGGAAACAGCTCTTTCTAATATTTGCTGACAAATTCAAGATAAAAAGGATGAAGTTCCTGAATCTGGTGTGCAATTCACTGCTCAAAGTCATGCTGACCTGAAGCAAAAAGCTGAGCCTGATTTTATTTATTTATTCATTTATAACCTTAGCCCAGTTAGGGGAATAACCCTGAATGTTGTTTGAGCTTCTTTTGTTTGAATAGTACTCTCTGTGCACCTGTCTTTCACATGAATTAACTCAGTTTATCTATTTTTTTAAATAGTAGTTCTAAGTCCTTTATTATTTGGTTAGTTTCCTGAACTTTATCATTTTTAACCCATTTCATTTTTCTGAGTGTGTTCCAATCAGATACTTTCTCTGTTTTATATCTTTTAAAGCTGCATGTTAAGTAAGAAAACAAAAGTTCAGAAAAACATTTATTTGTCATTTCTTATTGAATTATGAGACTCTTTATTTTATATAGGAACTTGTTTGAGGGGAAAATATTCCTGTCCTGCTGAGGGAAAATACTAAGTATATTTTATCCAAAATAAATGTGTTTTATTAAACTACTTTTACTTTTGATTGAATAGACTTTTATACAAAAGTAACTTTAATTGTTTTTAAGTAAAATGTCAACAAGGTAACAGTACTTCTGCGTGATGCTGTTGTTTTACCAGACTTTCTACCTCTGCTGAGTATCGACTGAGCACTTCCGTCAGGAGCTGTAATGATAAAAACTGTTGTGATAACAGAACCCTGACTTCATACATCTGATGAGTTTATATGTTCTGTTCAGTTGTGCTCAGAGCCGTGAATATCTGATACGTTTTCATCTCATCATGAGTCAACAATACTATAGGACAAAAATGTTGCATGTATCTGGTTGTGGAATAAATAAGAATATTGTCAAGTAAAGGACAGAAACACACAACCTGTAACCTGAGCAGCTCCAGATCATGATGAGGATGATTGTGATGTTGATAGTAAAAGCCTTTGTGATGAATAAATCTTTCTTGTCATTTCTGTGTGTTTGTGTGTCCAATCTACAACTAATTGCAAACACATTAAAGACTTATCTCTGCAGATATATTTTAATACCNATGGATGGATGGATGGATGGATGGATGGATGGATGAATTGATGTTTCTTTCATTTTATTAGTTTTTATAAAATGTTTTTTTTTCAATTTATTTAGTTTTAGTTAACTATAATAATCCTGATCTTCACCCAGATCTTCAAAGAGGAGCGAGGACTGTACCAGGACCAGGTGTTCAGCTTCGTCCACCTGAGTGTCCAGGAGTTTCTGGCTGCTCTTCATGTCCTCCTGACCTTCACCAGCTCTGGGCTCAACCTGCTGAGAGACAAACCGACGACGTTTCCTCGTTTCATCAAACCCAGGTTGTCAACCCTCTGCTGCAGCGCCGTGGACCAGGCCCTCCAGAGTCCAAACGGACACCTGGACTTGTTCCTACGCTTCCTCCTGGGACTCTCACTGGACACCAATCAGAACCTGCTGCTCGGCCTGCTGGACCCGACAGGAAGCAGCTCCGGGACCAAACAGGAAACGGTTCAGCACATCAAGAAGAAGCTCAGCGAGGACTTGTCTGCAGAGAGGAGCATCAGCCTGTTCCACTGCCTGAACGAGCTGAAGGACGCCTCTCTGGTGGAGGACGTCCAGCTGTCCCTGAGCTCGGGACGTCTCCGTCCAAACCAGCTGTCCCCCGCTCAGTGGTCCGCCCTGGTCTTCGTCTTGCTGTCCTCAGAGGAACACCTGGACGTCTTCGACCTGAAGAGATACTCCACCTCAGGAGAGGTTCTGCTGAGGCTGCTGCCCGTGGTCCGAGTCTCCAACAAAGCCGAGTAAAATTCTTCACAACTTTTAGCTTTTCTGAAACGATTTTCAGCTAAAACACAGCTGAGAGCTGAAGGACAGCCGAAAAAACTGGAGCTAAGTCTGTTAAACAATCAAAACAAAAGTTTGAAATTTAAAATGTTCAAATTATCCAAAGAAGTCTAAATGAAAATGTAGCTGAAGCATATAATTAGTAAAAGCTAAAATTAGCTGAGCAAAAGCTAAAAAAACAAACACATCAAAGGTGAAACTAGCAGCACAGTTGCTAAAAGCTAAAAGTAGCTAAAGAACTAAATCCAGCAGAACCACAGAAGCAAAAAACAATGAGCGAAATCATTAAGTAAAAATTAGCTAAACAGGGAAGAAATACAGCAAAAAAAAGTAGCTAAAAATAATAAACTAAAAACAAAAATTAACCACGCAAAAGCTAAAAATGTTAAATGCTGACAGCTAACAAACAAAACATGGGATCAAAGCTGAAAGTAGCTGAAAGCTAAAATTAGCAAAACAAGAAGTCCAAACCAAAACCAGCAGAAGTGGAGATGAAACATAAAATTTGCAAATGCTAAAAGCTAAAGTCCGCTAAAAAAAATAAATGAAATAAAACCATCAGAACACTAAATGCAAAAAAACAAGCAATGAGGTAAATTTAAGTACAAACTGACTAAAACTACAGAAAAAATAGCTAAAAATAATAAACTAAAAGCAAAAATTAACCATGTAAAAGATAAAAATGACAAATGCTAAAAGCTAACAAAGCCAAAGCTGAAAGTCGCTGAAAGCTAAAATTAGCAAAACAAAAAGTCCAAACTGAAACCAGCACAACTGTAGATGAAACATAAAATTAGGAAGAGTTAAAAACAAAATCAGCAAAAAGCAAAAGCTAAAGTAGCCGAACAGTAGGCGAAAGCTACAAATGATTTTAAAGCACAGATGTGGAAAAAAATGTAAATGAAGATAACTAATATAAAACTTTTAAAAACCAAACGTTGCAGCCGAAACGTCCCGAACAAGCTGAAGGTTTTGAGACCTGTACGTCAGGAAGAGCTAAAGGTTTGATGAAAAACTGCTGACTCATGGTTTGTTGTTTCAGCCTGAGTTTCTGCACTCTGTCACAAAGAAGCGTCGAAGCTCTGAGTTCGGTTCTGAGCTCCGASTCGTCCCGTCTGAGAGAACTGGACCTGAGCAACAACAACCTGCAGGACTGGGACCTGAGCCAGCTCTCTGCTGGACTGCAGAGTCCAGACTGCAGCCTGGAAACCCTCAGGTGTGCTGAGCCTCTTCGATTCGTTATATTTCTCATTGAATGGATTTAATTAAGTTTTGTTGCTTCTCTTCAGGTTGAGTGGATGTTTCCTGTCAGAAGAACGTGTCCGTGTCCTGCTCTCAGCCCTCACCTGTCGCTCCTCCAGCCTCAGAGAACTGGACCTGAGCAACAACAACCTGCAGGGATCTGGACTGGAGCTGCTGTCAGAAGGACTGACGAGTCCAGACTGGAACCTGGAAACCCTCAGGTCAGTTCTGCATGAAGAGACTCGTGATTTGTAACTTCCTGGTGAATAATGTGTGTGTCTCCGTCAGGCTGAGCGTCTGTAAGCTGTCGGAGACGAGCTGCGCCGCTCTGTCCTCGGTCTTCAGCTCTCGCTCTGCTCGTCTGAAAGAACTGGACCTGAGCAACAACGACCTGAAGGATCCAGGAGTCCAGCTGCTCTCCGCTGGACTCCAGAGTCCAAACTGTCACTTAGAGGTCCTCAGGTCAGTTTCTTTCTGCTTCAGAAATATTCTCAGGGGGTCCACGAGGGGYACCGTTGAAAAACCAGAGGTGGCACACCAAAACAAAAAATCCATAACGTAAATTTTATGAAATGACAATTTGAAAACTGTGTCAGTAAAAGACAAAGATGCTGTTTCCTGTTTCTGGTTTATTTTAACAGGTTGTTAAACTTTTACCTCCATAATAAACACTTGGTGTGAGTTCTGTAAATCACATGAAATAACTGAAGTTATGGAATCAGCTCTGCAGGAACTAATGTTGTTTTTTACTGTGAATGTGAGGAGTGGTCCAGATGAGGTTCTGTTAGAACTGCAAAGGTAGAAAAACCTGGGTACTCAGATAAAACTGGGGGGGCAACACATTTTTTTTGGGGGGGGCAACACATTTTTTTGCGTGGGGCAATTTTTAATGAGGGGGCAAAATTTTTTAGGGGGCAACAAGCATCACTATATCAGATTTTTATTGGTTGGTATAGAATTGAAGGGAGGAAAGTGACTGAGGCATCTATCCATCACATTGACCACACTGCATGTACATTATTGTTGCATTTTTCCCTCTTCTGTGTGTGTGTGGGTGGGGGGGAGGGGTTGTTTTTGGTGACATTTGGGGGCAATTTTAAGACAAAACGCCTACATCTGGGGACAACTGGTGCGTTTGGGGACCTAAGTCGAGTCCCCATTTGGTTTAAATGCCATTGGTGGGTTGGGGGTTTGGTTGAGGACCAAGATGTGAATTGAATTTAGGTTAGTTTTAGGGTCAGGAAGGTACCTGTGAGGTTAGCCTTAGGGTTTGTGGTCAGGGTTAGGCTGTAGAAATGTAATGGAAGTCAATGGAATGTCCCCAAATGGATAGCTGTGCAAACATGTGTGTGTGTGTTTTTCACCCTGTTTGATTGGTTGTAATGTTTAACACATGGCAGCAGCCACCACTGAAGCTCCATGAGGCTTCAGAGTGAACCTGATCTGACTGAGAGCAGCTAATCAGGCCAGACGTCCAGCAGATGGAGTTTCCATCGCTTATCCCAYGTTTGATGCAGAAATAACTCAGTTTTAAATGATCCCAAATGTCTGCTGGCAGGTAAACTTGTTCAATATTTAGGTTGTTAATTCAGCTGAGCTGCTGACTGAACAATTTTCCCAAATATTGTCTGAATATTTCTTATTAGATAACCTTATTATGTAAGACATAATGACAAAGACATAATGATAAAACCTTGTAGGTGTATTTTATTTCACAGGCATGAAACAAACTGCAACCCTGGGAGAAACATGTGAGTGTTGCTGCATTAATTAAATCGTATAAACAACATTTCTAACACCATTTTCATAAAATGATGAAAAATAAAATGCTTGTTTGATTTCCCAGTGGTGTTCTACAATTGTTCTGTATTCACAGGAAACAAATCATGTCTAAAAGTTGCTTTAATTTTCCTGCTGTTTGTTCCACATAGTTTAGTTTTCTCACATTCCTGCTACATTCAGTCACGAGGATCTTCCTATGTAACAAAACAATACGGTTCAATGTTTAATTCTACTTATTATTAAGAACGAATCAATGACACTCGGCCATCTTTAGGCCTTTACAGTTGGAATAGTAACATTTTCCAGCCTAAGTTTAGCGCTGGCTGAATTAAGCTTTCTAAAATCAAAGTATCTTTGTAACCTAAAACAATTATTCTGCAAGTTTTGCTTCTTTTAATCTAAAATAAACAGTTTTATCTGTTTGAACATTTTTAACACTCTGTTAATGACTGATTAATAGGTCCCAGACATTTCTCACTTGTCACATGTTTTATTTGAATCAAGTTGATTTTTAAATATTTTCTCTTGTTTTTACATACTCTACCTCCTTTACCCAACAAAATCTAACCAATAGGAGGGATGAACACATGGCCCCGCCCACTTTTCTGCCTCTATGTCACTAATTAAAAAAAGAGCAGGAGGAGGTTTCTGTTTTAATGTCTCGTTCTTTCTCTCCTTTGTCTCCCCCCCATCTATTCATTCCCAGATGGACAGATTGTCTCGCTGCCTGCCTTGCAGTCACATTTGACCTGGAAGTGCTGTGATTGGTCCAAAGGTCACCCAGCTTGCTTTTCATTGGATTAGAGGCAATTCCATAGGCTGCTGTAGGTTCCACACTCATCCATCATTGTCACTGTTGCTTCTGTGGACACTCGGTGCATCTCTGTGTGTGGATGTTAATGTCGGCATGTTTTATGCTTTAGTGTTGACATTTTAATACGTGAGGGATTGGCAGGAAAATAATTGTGGCTCCTTTTAATGCTGCCCAGTTGCTGGCACCAGGATTACCACACCTTATTTCATAATCCCCTGGGAGACCTTCTTGTATTTAAAACACTTACAGACACATATTATAGGAAAATGAATGCAAACATTGCCATGCATATCTGAAAACATGACCAGCTCTTGAAGGATACACTGGTAAAGTGAATTTTCTGCAGAAAGGAAAATGATGAATTATGACTGTAATAGACTTTAAACATATAATTTATTGTGTTTACTGACTAAAGAATAATGCATTGTCAACTGTAGTTTAAAGACGTTTTTTTCTATTTGTATAAGTATCTTTGTGATTTTATCCCACTTTAAAAGCATCACCAGGCTGGGTTTCTTTCATCTGCACTAAATTACTAGAAACATTGACTGTGTCTCAGTTCAGGGGATGCAGCCCATGCGTGATATGTAGTGTGCAATTGTTATGTCCCTGCACCACGCCGAAGGCAACTCCAATTTGTGGGCTCCTTCTCATGCAGCCCACAAAGCCCCAAAAACAAAGACTGCATTTGAGGACCCTTCATAGGTCACGATATCCCAGGATGCATTGCTCCATCAGCAAATTAAACAGGAAAAGAAAAAAGGTGGAGTTTGGAAAGTCATCATTGACTAAAGAATTTTTTATATAGCTACATAGCTCATAAAATTCACATTTAATTTCATCTACTCAAAAAAGCTGTTTCAATGAAAAAAGAAGTTCAATCAAAAGGTTTTTTGCATATTCTTTTGCCAGAAATCTTCGGTTGAATCTCAAACTTTTGATAGATGCTCTAAGTTCTGTCAGACATGTTTCAAACTTTAACCTGTTAACCTGCGGGCCTCTAACCCTAACCACATTAAATTAAGTGCTGCTTTTGAACCCTTTGGAAAAAAATCACAAGCCTAGTCTCTGAAGCTATCAATCTGAATTTTTAACTTCACCAGTCACGATGTTTGTAACTAACATTCAGTTATTGAAGTTAAAATACAAATTAATTATTATTTTTTCACTTCCAAAGCTGCATATCAAATAAAAGGTAACATGATTAGCTACACAGCTGTTGTGTCAGAATGAAGCTCAGAGCTGACTGGCCGATTCTATCCAATCAATCACTTGTACCACGTAGGGCTGGGATGTGAGGGGCTTGCCTCCCATTTTGGGCTCTGGAGAGTCCACAGATGAACCTAGTTGGTCAAAAGAGGTGTCAATCAAAAGAAGACAACCAATCAAAATTGTTTTAACAGCCTATTATGCAAATTCAAAGTCTCTGGGACAGAGGAATGGAGGAAGTAACCACAAACTTTGAATGTATCATGGGCAGGACATTAGTGTTTAAAGGCACAGTGTGTAGGATTTGTTGTTTTCAGCGACATCTAGTGGTTGAGTGGTTGAATCATCCTCCCTGGTCCTCCCCCCACCCC